TTGGCGGCTCGCCCCGGCGCTGCTACAGCGGGCCCCGGGGAGCCGCATACTGGTGGCTGCAGCCCCTCGGGCTTCCTGGCTTATACTGCCTACCTGGTGGGTCTAATTTGGCCCCTGGCTGCTCTGGGGAGGTAGGTGCCGCCCTTTCTCCATGGCAGGGCAAGGTGGAGGTAAGTGGATGCAGGGTGACTCCCCTGAGTCTACAGGTCAACCTCATGGTGTACCCCGCCTGCCCCATCTGCACCTGGAATGGACTCAGAGAGGACCCACCTACCTCCCCCTTTGTGAGGCACAGCCCTGGGGAGCTGCTGAGTGCCCACCGTACCTTGAGGGGCTGGAAGAGCCCTGCTTGTGCTGGGCTGGGCAGGGGTGCCCTGCAGGCCAGGCCGGAGCAGCACCACATGGGCCAGGCCAGGGGTTGCCATACCGATTAATCTTTTAACCTCTTGTGATTACAACAGGTTAAACAAATATTTATTTAATCAGTATTTACATCTCTAATTCAACCACATGTAATTGCTATCCTTTCTGCTGGCCTCCACTAGGTTAATCACTCTCATATTGTGGTTGGTGGGTCCCTAAAATGCCATATTTTCTTGCATATTACATCCTTACCCCATCAACCTATTTTCATAAGGCAGAATGAAGAATAAAATATTTTTGCAGAGTCATGGCTGGATGCTGCCCTCATGGAATAGGGACAGAGTCTCTACTCTGTTAGTAAATGTGGCAGAGCTCCTTAAGGTTGAGATACTATCAGAATATCGGGCTGTGGGAATGAGCAGGCCTGCAGGATGATACTTTCTCTCTAAACTTATGTTTACACCTCAGTCAGAGCTCGGACTCTAGATGTTTGGGTACACCTGTGCAAAGCTAGCGCTTTAGCCAGTGTGGGCTAACCCACCAAACATTTACTCAGCTCCTTTATTGGCCTTTGCAGCCCATTCTAAACTCTGTATCATTGCTGTGACACTGTTAACTGTTGAACCACTGGGCTATGCGTTTAAATTGCATTGCATCTCTAGATATTATTCTCTCTTTCACAGACATAGTAACTATTTAATGCCCGCTGGCAGAGGGCCTATGGTTAACATTTTAGTTAGTGAAGAGTGGGTTAAAATTAGGGCTTCAGCCAAGATTCACAGGACATGGTACAAACTATAGAAACAGTCTCTCCTTTTCTTATTCTGTCTCCTCAGGGGCACAATGGATACACAAGGTCTGAGCTAAATCATGGTTCAGATGGGTCTCCACCCTCTTTTGTCCCTTCATGGTTACTTGCATCATGGGTAACAGCACAAGAGGGGAAGCAGGCATTGCATTGCCAGTTTGCCCCTCCTTGTGTACAGGTTCTCTTTCCTCCTCCCACAACACTCAGGGCAGCTGTCAGTATATTGGGGTACATAGTCTACAGCAGCTTAGACACCAACCAGTTTATGGTCACTGTAATGCGATGGGGATGACCAGAGTCATTTTCTTCTTTTGGAACCCCTTACCCCGGGCTCGTTACATGGCCGACTTCTTAGTGAAAGTCTGCAAGTAGCATGCAGTAGATTCTAAAAGGTAGAACGCAGGCGGGGAGAATGCAAATGTCTAAATAAAAAGCAAAGACATTTATTAAAAAATTACCTGAGCCATTGTCAAGAAGTTCCAGATCTACTGCAGTTCCAGCCTGAGTTTCAACAGTGGCTATCACAGTTGCACCAAGAACAGGCAAGAACTCTTGGCTAACTTCTGCATAAATAACCATTGGACTAGGAACACTGTTTGTATCTTTATTCATGTGAGCTCTCACAGTCACTGGAGGCACATCCAAAGATGCTGCTCGAGAGGTTACTGTCATTGATATGACTTGAAGGGCTGTATATGTATTTTGAATCTGATAATGCCAGTCTCCCCACTGCAAATCGAAAATTAAAAAAAAAAGTTTATTATAAGAACACAATATAATATGAGCAGCCTTGTTCCTCGTACCTAGTCCTTTATTATATTAGGTAAAAGGAGATTTTTCAGTGGCATTAAGAGCAATTAGGGCAGGGGTGGGCAATTATTTTGGCTGGTGGGCCACTTAATGAGTTTTGGTGATCTGTTGAGGGCCACACAGTCTTTCAGAAGATGTAATTTTAACATATTACAGGTAAAAAAACAATCATTATACTAAAAATCAGACATCTATTATAACATTTAAATTTTATTTCAAAAATAATTTTTGTCTTGATTTATGCTTTTTGAGGAGTATATATAGAGACTATTGCATACTAGCTCAAAATAAAATCTTATTCCTATATATTCTGTGGGGTGGTGGGGTGTGTGTGTGGCGGGGGGGGGGGGGGG